TGCCTATCGTCCCTGTCATTGTATTTTTATTCTCTTCTCATTTTTATTTGACAAATTCCAAAAAATAAAATAAAATAAAATATCACCTAGGAGCAAATGTCATGCAGAAAAGATATAGTTCACGCATAGCATTCTCACCATAGTGGGAATTGTCCACTTTCTGAAAATTGTATCGTGAAATGTGAGCCCCTGTCCACACATATTTAATCATGACCTCTCAAAACTTCATGTATTGTCTATTATATAAGCTGGATCCTAGTATTACTAGGCAGACTATAACTACTAAATGAACTAATGTTAGGTCAATACAAGCATTTTCTCCAGTCCTCCCTCTTTCTTATTGATCGCATTACATAGGGAAGAATCCGGGTGGGTGTTCTATCATCTCTCAATGATTTTGTAACTGGGAACTTTACAGATGGTTTGGCTTAGAGGCAGTAGCTTTATCACAATATCTTGCTGATAGGTTCTACAACAGCTTGATATTCAAATAGAAAAATAGATAGGGAGAAAGACATATGCCATGTTGTACCTTATCTGCAACTTTCATTATAAAATCCAAAGGGTATAAACAAGTTTGCTAAATAATAAGGGCTTTGCAATTGTAAAACAGAAAACAAATATACTCCCCAAACATGTAATTGTATCATCTAAATAATATGCTTTAGTGATTACTTTCCGAGGTCATGTTTATACTGTACTTAGGGCTTTTTTTTACTACTTTTTTTTACAACTTTTTGCAAAAATGAATGAGTGGGTTTGCAGGGACAAGTGTGTGATTCACAATCGTGTTTCCAGTGTTAAAAATGAGCTATCCTTCTATACAAATGTTCATTTTCAACATTGGAACTTGATAGCAGTAATGTAATGAAGATATAATTGCAATTCTGAAGATGAGAATGCTACTCTTCCTTCATTATCCCATGTAGAACTCTCCTGTAAAGGACACTGTACTGACCGATATGTCCGGGGCAGACTCTGTGACTGTGATCCAGATTGTCACAAATATGGCAAGTGCTGTCCAGACTTTAAAGAGGCTTGTCCAGGTAAGTCTTAAAATCTTATGATTCTTTTCCAAAATCTAGCTTGTAATAGACACTGAAATTTACTTTTGGACTTACTCCTAATGCTACAATTCAGCTTTTGCATGTGGAAATGTTGCATGAGCAGGGAAAAAGGCCATTAACTTGACACATCGATTTTCTATGTTGAGAAGGAAATTTGGAGGAACATTCAACCTTATGAATGTTCACAAGGCTGAACATGAGTTTTCTCACCTCCTATAGACCAGGAGAGAGTCAATTTGGTATAGTGCTTAAGGCATCAGGTTAGAAACTGGGAGACTGTGAGTTCTAGTCCCACCTTGGGCCAGTAACTTTCTCTCAGCCCTAGGAAGGAAGTAATGCAAACCATTTCATAAAACCTCACCAAAAAAGTGCAGAGAGTTGTCCAGGAAGTTTCTGAGAATCAGATACAATTGAATGAAATAAAAAATAGACCAGTCATATGTTTATACCCTCAATAAAAATAGCATGCCTTTAAATTGCTTGTTCCAGTTTTTGTTACAAAAACATCTAGCCAAGAGATAAGATGAATTATTGAAGTTATAGGTCTGTCTCTTGAGTCATGGAAGTTTTAACCATAGGTACACTGTAGGTTCTTCTTTTGCAAATATTACTGCTTAAAATCATCACTGGTCCTTCACTCTAACAGGATTCAAGATTTTAACTCCATAGTGGTATAGTAGTTTCCTAATAACATGCTTGTTTCTCAGAGGCTGTGACCTTGTGGATTAGGCTGTATGCAATTTCTCATTTCATGGAGTATGGCAAGCCAGCTGATTTATCCTTTCCTTGAGTGAATTCCAGGAGCCTGATTGCCACCTACAGTATATCTATTACATGTTTGTTGTTCTAATATTAACTACAGAAGTCCAAAATCTTGTTTTTTTTCCTATATGTCATTTTTTTCCCTATATGACATATGTTGGACTGCAAAATATTATAGTAGGTTTTTATTATACAGTATTATTTTAAGTTATATTGTAAGTAGGTCATTGATCACAGCAAACTTATCTTATTTTGTGTATACAGCAATTAAATTTATTTTTCTATTTCTGTTTCTATTCTTAGACAAAAATATTCCTGCTACTAAGCTTTAGTTTAAAAATTATTGAGATGGTAGAGGGAGAGCAGAATTTGGTAAATCACAGCTGAAATACGGACTTCTTTTTTTTTTTTTAAAGGGCTTTCTTTTAACAAGTCTTTTGTTTAAAACAGTAAATAGCCAATAATTACAAACTTAAATTAGCTAACAAAGTTATACATAAACAATTTCAACTGAAATTGAAACTGAGATCTACTGTTTATGCTCGACTGTTCAGGAGCAGTGACTGTCACCATGACCAGAGGTCCCTCGACAATACTCAAAACAATACCCAAAACAACCACCACAACCAAGCCATCAGCCACAACCTCCAAACCAAAATCAACAACCAAACGTTCACCTAAACCTAACCCCAAACCAGTGTCTTTAAAGAAGAAGAAGCACAAGACGGTGTCTCATGAAACTGTGGAAGGTAAACCTTAGCTGCATTTTTGTGGAAGCAATAAATGTTTCTTAGCAGTCAATGTATACACATACACATACATATACACATTCCAATATAATTTCCTTGTCTATACCTCTATACCGGGAAAAAGACAAAAGTTGGAATTGATAAACACTTTTTAAAATGCAGTCACAATGATGCATCCTTTCAATGGTTTCCACAGAATCTAATTTGCAATCTTGATTCCCATGGTTGGCCTGTTAGCCAAATACTTCTCCATCTTGTATATTTCTTTGGAACTTAAGTATGCAATAGTTAGATGAATCTACCTACTCAACCTGCAGTTTAGAACAAGAAAGGTCCCCTTTTTTTGGTCACGGACTGCATTTGACCTTAGCAGAAAGTGTTCCCTTGTTCTCTCACTGCCCAAGATTGTTGTAGAAGGCCCCTAATTCTCCAGAATAGAGAGCCGAGAGTGCTATGAGCCTCAAAAAGAGAGTGGTAAAAAGGAACAAAAGCAGTATATGAAGTTGTGATTGATAGGATGAAAACAAGAATATTTTGTGACAGAAAAATATGAAGCATAGTGAATGATCCTAATGTAAACCAATTGTAACCATGTTTGCTCTGTTTTTCCTTATTCTATGCATTTAATTTCTTTATAATTTCTTATCCATATCTACATTTTGCATAATGTTGTTTAATCTAAAAGCGAATAGCGTGACAAATATGCACCCATGTGGCTGTGGGATATTGCAAATGGCTGTACATGTGGCCTTGTTGCCATGTTTGGCCACTTGACTGTGAAGTGGCCAAACACAACCATTGGAACTTTATAGATCACAAGTCTCCTTTTTCTGGTCTGTTGTAACTTCATACGATTGCAAAGTGACTGGTCATAAACTGAGGACTACCTGTAATCTGAACCATTGAATACAAACTTTAAGACGGGTTGAAGAATCTCTGCACGAACTTTTTTTTTTTTAGTTTTTTCTTCTTAAAAATACAGCTGTGGGATCAAATTTGGAAGCTTTGGTAGGCCATGTCCAAAAATTGGGGGGGAGGGTCATGTGCAACCTAAATCCCCAAATTGTGCTACCTTCCCAGGGACTCCATCTGTGAACAAGAACTATAATCTCTAGAATGTTTATCTTTCTGATGATTGTAGAGCATTCTGAACAGCATTCTACTTCTTCAAAATCCTCATCGATTCGGAGAGCAACAGCTTTATTGGGAGAAAGTGGGGATACAAGCAAGAATAATGATAAGGCACTAGAAGAAGAAGAAAAGAGAGGTATGCCTTCTGATCTTTTTTAAGCATCCAGGAATAAGGATTGCATTGAAGCAGACATATGAGTAATGTATGTTTTTCTATCTTGAAAAAGTATTTTAAAGTTTAAAAATAATAGTTCCTAATCTTTAAGGGTGTATTCAGGTTAAAGTTAAAAAATCAATATAACAGCCATGATGATGCGAGGATGTGTGTTACATGTGTTGCATATGCAATGCACATTAAAAAACAGATAGAGCTTTGATTCCACTGTTTCAGCCACCATCTTGACTTATTTTTAACCACATCTTTGGACCTTTCTGCTAATCTTCCAGTAGAGGGTAAGTATAAAGAAACCTTCAGGATTTTATTGGGAATACTGAGTACATGTCAACAAACTCCAAAACATGTTAGTACAAACTGGAAAGCTGCAAACCAGAAGACAAATCATTTACTTCTCTTTCGTGTTTTCATTTAAAACAATTTCTATCACATTGTTAAAAAAAAAAACCAGAAGAAGTAAAGTTGATATTAGGATGTCACAGAATCTCAAATTTGCCTAGACTGTTACTGGTGTGTTATTTTATGATATTTGAAGCCTTGAAAAGAGTTAACTTCAGAGGCCAGTGGTTGAGGCAAAAAGAAATGAAAGGTTCCCCCTTCCCCTTGATTTACAGTAATTGCAAACCCGTGTGGTAAAAAGAATCAACCCATTCAAATATTTTGATAATATTCTGCAGTATTTTGAGTTTAGATTTTTTTAATTGGATCATACAATGAGAGGAATTGTGTCAATGAGTAACAAATCATTCCATAACCTCTTTTTTCCCTTCTGAAATACAGAATTATTTTTGCTAAATATCACTAATCAGTATGCAACTAGCATTATTTTAATAGAAATCTGCAAAATGTGTTGCTCATGCTTTTAGACCTGGTGCTTCCTTTCATCATTTTAAATCTATGGGACCTGAAGCACTGTGTTGAGAAGTTGGCAGGGGAAACATTTTTTTCAGGGAATGAAAAATAGAAAATTTAATTTTCTTCTTCTCCCCCCCCCCCTTTTTTTTTTTTTGCTTAAGCTCGTGAAGCATCAAAATCAAGAAGAAAATCTTCATCCAAAGCAGTGAAAGTAATTTCAGAGGATGATGGTAGTGGGGAAGGCAATGCATTAACAACAAAGGCTACCACAACTATGATAAATATCACTACAACAAAGATGCCATCCACCACAGGCACAACAAAGATGCCATCCACCCACAGGCACAACAAAGATGCCATCCACCACAGGCACAACAAAGATGCCATCCACCACAGGCACAACAAAGTTGCCATCCACTACAGGCACAACAAAGTTGCCATCCACCACAGGCACAACAAAGTTGCCATCCACCACAGGCACAACAAAGTTGCCATCCACCACAGGCACAACAAAGATGCCATCCACCACAAGCACAACAAAGATGCCATCCACCACAGGCACAACAAAGATGCCATCCACCACAGGCACAAGCACAACACAGCTTCCAACCACGACCACGAGGCAGCCATCTACTACAACAATGGAAAAAATGGCTTCCACAGCAACCACAACAAAGCTGACATCCACTACTGCTACTTTAAAGATATTACCCACCACAATAATGACAACAAAGTTGCCATCCACCAGCACCAGCACCAGCACCACACTTCCATCTACTACCACCCCCACAAAGCTGCCATCCACTACAAGTACCACCACAAAGCTGCCACCAACCACAGCAACAACAAAACTGCCACCCACAACTACCACCATCACCACCACAAACAAGCCATCCACCACGAGTAGCACAAAACCATCCTCTACCACAGCTACTGTGAAGCTGCCATCTACTACTACAAAGCAGACTACTACAGAGCTTACAACCCAAGGAAATAAAGGTATTACAACAACTCTGGGTGATCATGTTAGCTATTTCCCAAGTCCCCATTCTGAGCATGTTATTTCATTCTTCAAAATTACTACCACAAAACTGTTAGGTTTGCAATCTACTGCTGCTTCTACAACCAGTAGGATATCATTGCCTACTAAAACTATGGTAACCATGAAGAAACATGAAAATGCTATTTCTTCAAACCCTACGTCTTCCTCACTTAAAGCAATAACAAGAATGTCTAACAGAGATACTACTACTGTAAGAATGTCAAGAGATGATAAGAATGAACCTAATTTATATGACAAAGTTACAGCAACAATGAAAGCAAGTACGGCAATGGCTGAAACTAATACAAAAGATATGACTACTGCAAGAAAAGAGACCGTAACAACAGATATTAAAAACAAGCAGTAGAGCAGACACAACACCAACAACTTCTAATGAACAAGGAACAACAAGGAAACCAAAAAATATAGATTACAAAACTGGTCCACATCGAATTGATAAAAATGATAATCTCAATAGAATTTCTGCAGTGACAGAAGAAATAATTACTATTTCTATTCCAAATGACAGAACCAATCCTGATCCTGATGGAGTTCAAAAAAGTGACAATTCAGCCAGAACTTCAGCAATGACAGAAACAGTCACTACACAGACTGGCCAAGGTGAGACCAGTCACAAGACAGACAATCCAGAAACAAGCACATCTGTCACACAAGCAACAATGTCAACAACAAATTCAGAATACACAAGTCCTGATGTAACTGATAAAAGTGACAATCCAGAGAAAACTTCTGCCGTGACAGAAACAGTCACTACACAGACTGGCCAAGGTGAGACTAGTCACAAGACTGACAATCCAGAAACAAGCACATCTGTCGCAGAAGCAACAATGTCAACAACAAATTCAGAATACACAACTCCTGATGTAACTGATAAAAGTGACAATCCAGAGAGAACGTCTGCTGTGACAGAAACAGTCACTACACAGACTGGCCAAGGTGAGACTAGTCACAAGACTGACAATCCAGAAACAAGCACATCTGTCACAGAAGCAACAATGTCAACAACAAATTCAGAATACACAACTCCTGATGTAACTGATAAAAGTGACAGTCCAGAGAGAACTTCTGCCGTGACAGAAACAGTCACTACACAGACTGGCCTAGGTGAGACCAGTGACAAGACTGACAATACAGAAAAAAGCACATCTGTCACAGAAGCAACAATGTCAACAACAAATTCAGAATACACAACTCCTGATGTAACTGATAAAAGTGACAATCCAGAGAGAACGTCTGCTGTGACAGAAACAGTCACTACACAGACTGGCCAAGGTGAGACTAGTCACAAGACTGACAATCCAGAAACAAGCACATCTGTCACACAAGCAACAATGTCAACAACAAATTCAGAATACACAACTCCTGATGTAACTGATAAAAGTGACAATCCAGAGAGAACGTCTGCTGTGACAGAAACAGTCACTACACAGACTGGCCAAGGTGAGACTAGTCACAAGACTGACAATCCAGAAACAAGCACATCTGTCACAGAAGCAACAATGTCAACAACAAATTCAGAATACACAACTCCTGATGTAACTGATAAAAGTGACAATCCAGAGAGAACGTCTGCTGTGACAGAAACAGTCACTACACAGACTGGCCAAGGTGAGACTAGTCACAAGACTGACAATCCAGAAACAAGCACATCTGTCACACAAGCAACAATGTCAACAACAAATTCAGAATACACAACTCCTGATGTAACTGATAAAAGTGACAGTCCAGAGAGAACTTCTGCCGTGACAGAAACAGTCACTACACAGATTGGCCTAGGTGAGACCAGTGACAAGACTGACAATCCAGAAACAAGCACATCTGTCACAGAAGCAACAATGTCAACAACAAATTCAGAATACACAACTCCTGATGTAACTGATAAAAGTGACAATCCAGAGAGAACGTCTGCTGTGACAGAAACAGTCACTACACAGACTGGCCTAGGTGAGACCAGTGACAAGACTGACAATACAGAAATAAGCACATCTGTCACAGAAGCAACAATGTCAACAACAAATTCAGAATACACAACTCCTGATGTAACTGATAAAAGTGACAATCCAGAGAGAACTTCTGCCGTGACAGAAACAGTCACTACACAGACTGGCCTAGGTGAGACCAGTGACAAGACTGACAATACAGAAATAAGCACATCTGTCACAGAAGCAACAATGTCAACAACAAATTCAGAATACACAAATCCTGATGTAACTGATAAAAGTGACAATCCAGAGAAAACTTCTGCCGTGACAGAAACAGTCACTACACAGACTGGCCAAGGTGAGACTAGTCACAAGATTGACAATCCAGAAACAAGCAAAGCTGTCACAGAAGCAACAATGTCAACAACAAATACAGAATACACAAGTCCTGATGTAACTGATAAAAGTGACAATCCAGAGAAAACTTCTGCCGTGGCAGAAACAGTCACTACACAGACTGGCCAAGGTGAGACTAGTCACAAGACTGACAATCCAGAAACAAGCAAAGCTGTCACAGAAGCAACAATGTCAACAACAAATTCAGAATACACAAGTCCGTATGTAACTGATAAAAGTGACAGTCCAGAGAAAACTTCTGCCGTGACAGAAACAGTCACTACACAGACTGGCCTAGGTGAGACTAGTCACAAGACTGACAATCCAGAAACAAGCAAAGCTGTCACAGAAGCAACAATGTCAACAACAAATTCAGAATACACAAGTCCTGATGTAACTGATAAAAGTGACAATCCAGAGAGAACGTCTGTCATGACAGAAACAGTCACTACACAGACTGGCCAAGATGAGACTAGTCACAAGACTGACAATCCAGAAACAAGCCCAGCTGTCACAGAAGCAACAATGTCAACAACACATTCAGAATACACAAGTTCTGATCTAACTGATAAAAGTGACAATCCAGAGAGAACGTCTGCTGTGACAGAAACAGTTACTACACATTCTGGCCAAGGTGAGACCAGTCACAAGACTGACAATCCAGAAACAAGCACATCTGTCACAGAAGCAACAATGTCAACAACAAATTCAGAATACACAAGTTCTGATCTAACTGATAAAAGTGACAATCCAGAGAGAACGTCTGCTGTGACAGAAACAGTTACTACACAGACTGGCCAAGGTGAGACCAGTCACAAACTGACAATCCAGAAACAAGCAAAGCTGTCACAGAAGCAACAATGTCAACAACACATTCAGAATACACAAGTTCTGATCTAACTGATAAAAGTGACAATCCAGAGAGAACGTCTGCTGTGACAGAAACAGTTACTACACAGACTGGCCAAGGCGAGACCAGTCACAAGACTGACAATCCAGAAACAAGCAAAGCTGTCACAGAAGCAACAATGTCAACAACAAATTCAGAATACACAAGTCCATATGTAACTGATAAAAGTGACAATCCAGAGAAACATCTGCCGTGGCAGAAACAGTCACTACACACAGACTGGCCTAGGTGAGACTAGTCACAAGACTGACAATCCAGAAACAAGCAAAGCTGTCACAGAAGCAACAATGTCAACAACAAATTCAGAATACACAAGTCCATATGTAACTGATAAAAGTGACAGTCCAGAGAAAACTTCTGCCGTGACAGAAACAGTCACTACACATTCTGGCCAAGGTGAGACCAGTCACAAACTGACAATCCAGAAACAAGCACATCTGTCACAGAAGCAACAATGTCAACAACAAATTCAGAATACACAAGTTCTGATCTAACTGATAAAAGTGACAATCCAGAGAAAACTTCTGCCGTGACAGAAACAGTCACTACACAGACTGGCCAAGGTGAGACCAGTCACAAGACTGACAATCCAGAAACAAGCACATCTGTCACAGAAGCAACAATGTCAACAACAAATTCAGAATACACAAGTTCTGATCTAACTGATAAAAGTGACAATCCAGAGAAAACTTCTCTGCCGTGGCAGAAACAGTCACTACACAGACTGGCCTAGGTGAGACCAGTGACAAGACTGACAATCCAGAAACAAGCAAAGCTGTCACAGAAGCAACAATGTCAACAACAAATTCAGAATACACAAGTCCTGATGTAACTGATAAAAGTGACAGTCCAGAGAAAACATCTGCCGTGACAGAAACAGTCACTACACAGACTGGCCTAGGTGAGACTAGTCACAAGACTGACAATCCAGAAACAAGCAAAGCTGTCACAGAAGCAACAATGTCAACAACAAATTCAGAATACACAACTCCTGATGTAACTGATAAAAGTGACAGTCCAGAGAAAACTTCTGTCGTGACAGAAACAGTCACTACACATTCTGGCCAAGGTGAGACCAGTCACAAGACTGACAATCCAGAAACAAGCAAAGCTGTCACAGAAGCAACAATGTCAACAACATATTCAGAATACACAAATCCTGATGTAACTGATAAAAGTGACAATCCAGAGAAAACTTCTGCCGTGACAGAAACAGTCACTACACAGACTGGCCAAGGTGAGACCAGTCACAAGACTGACAATCCAGAAACAAGCACATCTGTCACAGAAGCAACAATGTCAACAACAAATTCAGAATACACAAGTCCTGATGTAACTGATAAAAGTGACAGTCCAGAGAAAACTTCTGCCGTGACAGAAACAGTCACTACACATTCTGGCCAAGGTGAGACCAGTCACAAGACTGACAATCCAGAAACAAGCAAAGCTGTCACAGAAGCAACAATGTCAACAACAAATTCAGAATACACAAGTCCTGGTGTAACTGATAAAAGTGACAATCCAGAAACAACTTCTGCTGTGACAGAAACAGCCATTACGCAGACTGGCCAAGATGAGACCAGTCATAAAAGTGACAGTCTAGAAACAAGTGCTTCTGTCACAGACACAGCAAGGACAACAACAAATTCAGAATACACAAGTCCTGATGTAACTGATAAAAGTGACAGTCCAGAGAAAACTTCTGCCGTGACAGAAACAGTCACTACACAGACTGGCCTAGGTGAGACTAGTCACAAGACTGACAATCCAGAAACAAGCAAAGCTGTCACAGAAGCAACAATGTCAACAACAAATTCAGAATACACAAGTCCTGATGTAACTGATAAAAGTGACAGTCCAGAGAAAACTTCTGCCGTGACAGAAACAGTCACTACACATTCTGGCCAAGGTGAGACCAGTCACAAAACTGACAATCCAGAAACAAGCACATCTGTCACAGAAGCAACAATGTCAACAACAAATTCAGAATACACAAGTTCTGATCTAACTGATAAAAGTGACAATCCAGAGAAAACTTCTGCCGTGACAGAAACAGTCACTACACAGACTGGCCAAGGTGAGACCAGTCACAAGACTGACAATCCAGAAACAAGCACATCTGTCACAGAAGCAACAATGTCAACAACAAATTCAGAATACACAAGTTCTGATCTAACTGATAAAAGTGACAATCCAGAGAAAACTTCTGCCGTGACAGGCAAAACAGTCACTACACAGACTGGCCTAGGTGAGACCAGTGACAAAACTGACAATCCAGAAACAAGCAAAGCTGTCACAGAAGCAACAATGTCAACAACAAATTCAGAATACACAAGTCCTGATCTAACTGATAAAAGTGACAGTCCCAGAGAAAACATTCTGCCGTGGCAGAAACAGTCACTACACAGACTGGCCTAGGTGAGACTAGTCACAAGACTGACAATCCAGAAACAAGCAAAGCTGTCACACAAGCAACAATGTCAACAACAAATTCAGAATACACAAGTCCTGATGTAACTGATAAAAGTGACAGTCCAGAGAAAACATCTGCCGTGACAGAAACAGTCACTACACAGACTGGCCTAGGTGAGACTAGTCACAAGACTGACAATCCAGAAACAAGCAAAGCTGTCACAGAAGCAACAATGTCAACAACAAATTCAGAATACACAACTCCTGATGTAACTGATAAAAGTGACAGTCCAGAAAAACTTCTGTCGTGACAGAAACAGTCACTACACATTCTGGCCAAGGTGAGACCAGTCACAAGACTGACAATCCAGAAACAAGCAAAGCTGTCACAGAAGCAACAATGTCAACAACATATTCAGAATACACAAATCCTGATGTAACTGATAAAAGTGACAATCCAGAGAAAACTTCTGCCGTGACAGAAACAGTCACTACACAGACTGGCCAAGGTGAGACCAGTCACAAGACTGACAATCCAGAAACAAGCAAATCTGTCACAGAAGCAACAATGTCAACAACAAATTCAGAATACACAAGTCTGATGTAACTGATAAAAGTGACAGTCCAGAGAAAACTTCTGCCGTGACAGAAACAGTCACTACACATTCTGGCCAAGGTGAGACCAGTCACAAGACTGACAATCCAGAAACAAGCAAAGCTGTCACAGAAGCAACAATGTCAACAACAAATTCAGAATACACAAGTCCTGATGTAACTGATAAAAGTGACAATCCAGAAACAACTTCTGCTGTGACAGAAACCATTACGCAGACTGGCCAAGTGAGACCAGTCATAAAAGTGACAGTCTAGAAACAAGTGCTTCTGTCACAGACACAGCAAGGACAACAAATTCAGAATTCACACCTGGTCCTGATGCTGTTGATAAAGGTGACAGTACTGCAGTTGCAGTAACTTCAATTAAAATGTCTGGTGAAGATGAGACCAGTCACCAAACAGGCAATCTAGAAACAAGCACTTTGGTCACAGATAAAATCACGACTCAAACAAATTCAGATCACACAACTGGTCCTGATGCCATTGATAAAAGTGACAGTACAGACAGAGCTTCTGCTACAACAGAATTAGCAACTACACAGACTGCTCTAGATGAGACCAACCATAAAAGTGACAATCCGGAAACAAGCAGGCCTGTCACAGGGGCAACAAGGACATCAACCAATTCAGATTATACAACCAGCAGTGATGGAATTGATAAAAGTGACAATCCAAACATAAGTACAGCAGTAACAGAAACAGCAATCACAAAGTCTGGTCAAGATGAGTCCAGTCATAAAAGAGACAATTCAGAAAGACCTTTTGCCATGACAGAATCAATAATCGCATCCACTATTCCAAATATCAGAACAAATTCTCCTGCCATTAAGACCACAAGGACACCAAGAAATTCAGATTACACAACTGGTCCTGATGAAATTTATAAAAGTGACATTACTGACAAAACCTCTGCAGCTACAAAAGCAACATTTACACTTTCTAATCTGAAATACAAAACTAATCCCGATGGAATATATATAAATCAAAATCTAGAAACAAGAACTCCATTTCCAGAGACAAGTACGTCAATGAATTCTGAAGACTCAACCAATCCTGATGGAATTGATAAAAGTGACATTCCAGAAGCAGCCTCTCCAGTCACAGAGACAACAATGACATCAACAAATTCAGATGCCCCAATCAACCCTGATAGAATTGATAAAAATGTTGATCCAGACTGGATTACTGCAGTGATGGGAACAACAATCTTACCATCTAATTTGGATGACTCAACCAAACCTGATAGTGTTGACAAAAGTGGCAATCCAGATGATACAATTAATCCAGATGATATGATAGGACATGACAAGCTGGATAAGGTTACTGATGTTACAGGTACAACAATTACAGTGACTAATCCAGATGTAAGATACAATGACAAGTTTAATACAATTACAAAGACAACAATTGCAAAGACTAATCCAATGGGTACAAGCAGTCTTGATAACAGAAACATCTTCCTAACTGGAACTACTGCAGTCATAAAAGCATTGTCAATGGACCAAAGAAATGACACATCCATTCCTGAAGTTAATGTTATAAATAACAGACCAAAAGAAACTACAATAAACATCGATATTATAAGAAACATTACTGATCTATCAGGAAAGTCACTTACTCCCAATAGTGATGGTATCAGTGGACTGGAAACAATTGCAACAGTTGCCAAGACAATAATAGCACAAACTGACACACAGACAACTCTCAGCACCACAACAGAATCTAAACCTTTGAGTAATTCTGCTAATTTTGAGGGAGATGACAGGCCAGGCAGCAACCCCACAAAGACTACAGCTATTACTACAGAATCAAATCTTAGTTTACCTAGCCCAAATGATAATGATAAAAAGAGAAGGGCAGATATCATTACCAAAATTACTCGGACATTAACTATTGAAACTACAACCTCCCCTCGAATAAATAAACCTAAACAACCAGATGTAATAACTAATAAAAAAATTAATCTTGTTTCAGATAAAGGAACCACAAAGGAAAACCCAACTAAAAAGAATACAGTAACACAAGTGAGTACAACTTCCAGCACCCTATCTTCTACAACAAACAAAATTACATCATATTCCTCTACTTGGTCCACTATTGTCATACCTACAACACAAAGGCAAGTCGCCTCTTACTCCAGTCCAAGAGATGCTACCATTTCCACAACTAAATCTCCAGAGATGATGTTCAACAAAACTACAGCATATGTTCCACCAGAAAAGATTGCTGCATCTCTATGGTACAAAGGTACATTCACTTTTCATTTACATCTACATTTTCATTTTCATCTATTGGAGCCCTGTACGATAGCAATAATGTGTAATAAGTCTGAACATCATTATAACTATGTTTCTGAAAGGCACTGAGATATATATGTGAGTGGGGAATTGTGTGTGGGCCTAATACAGTTGATGGAAGATTGGGTTGTTATTTAGGGAGATTGGAAGAAGAAGAGATGTGTTCCAGAATCCAGACCAAAATGGTAATGATCTCAGGAGCCCCAATATATCTGAAATAACCTTATAGTCTTAAAAATACATTTTTTAAAAATCTTGCATATTTCTAGATAAGTTTTTTCTTTATGCCTTGCTCTGTTTTTGAATTTTTAAATTGTATTCTTGGGTTTTTACAGTTGGATAATTGTTTCTTTTCAGTTTGGGAAGATGTTCTATGAGGATTGTTACATAATTTGATAAGATGATTTATGTCATTATTTCTATTGTACTTTCCCTTTCTCCTATTAAGTTCAACATTGTTCCCTCACCTGTACTTTATGGTGGCATAAGTTGAAAAGAATAGCAATTACCTGAATATTATCCTCAAATTTCATGACTAAATTGAGATATAAGCTTCAGGCCTCAGACATTATATTACAATTCCCATTAACTGTAGCCTTCCGTGATTGGACATGATGGAAATTGAAGATTTTGAGAGGAACATATTTGGAAAATACTGTTGTCTTCAAAAGAGATTCTTGAAAGATTGGTTGAACAACTCTTTCTTAAAGTACTATAGTTAAGCATCTAAACATTCTGGGCTTGGACTGTATAATTCGTGTTTGTTTGGTATTTTCATGCCCCACTCACATTTTGTATGTGCCCCACCCCCCCATCAGTTCTCTAAAGATTAATGTGACTATTTCTGTGACTGAACTATTGTTATGATCTAATCTTGGTGAACAAACTTATTTTTGAAAATGCAATATATATTTAATGAGTGGCTTAATAAGAGCTTTAGCTGTATATTGGTAACCTGTGACACATTCGGTCATCCTTTCAGAGATATATTGTTACCTAATCAGAGAAACATAATGACCATGGATGAGCAAAAAAGCAGTGGGCACAACTTCCAACTTCCTGTTGGCTTCTCCATTGAGTTTCCTTGTGGGAAACTGGCTTGGAGAAAGCCTGTGGGGGAAGTTAGCAGGAGATTGTAAGTCCAAGACCAAGCTGGTAAATGGCAAACTTTTTGACTAGAAAAAGCATTTAATAATGATAAACTAAGTAATTGCTCATACATTTAGAGAACCAGTTTGGGTAGTTAAGGTACTAGTTTAGAATCCAGGAGATTGTAAATTCCACACTTCCTTTATGCATGAAAGCTAGGTGGGTATCTTAGGTCCTGATTGGAGAACCAATACTTTACCAGAATGTCATATTTCTTTAGCATTTTCTCATTTCTAATTTATTCTCAAATTAGGAAGAGTGCAGTGGAGATATTTGACAAAGTAAAGGGAAATTCACTGTTCACACCCAGTTTCCCAACAAATTTCCACAGTTGATACAGAATGAATGACACAAGAATCAGCTATATTTTTCTAAATATAAAAAGTTGAAATATTATAGAAAATAATATACCAAGCAGTGCCCTTTTAAATTACAAAATGTATCTGGATTAAGCACATTGTTAATCATATAAATTGTATGTTCGAAAAACAGAGTATATCATAAGAATTTTTCCCTGGAAATTTTGTGAAAGAGAACAAATATTTCAGATAAAAATAACATATTAACCCAATGCATTACGCCTTAATTCAAAGTACCGCATGTTAGTTTTAGGAAACATTGCAGTACGTCTCTATCTCCATCTCTCTGTCTCTCTCTCCCCCCCCCCCCCCCGTGTGTGTGTGAAATGGAAAGCTTGGGAGTTCATTTTTATGCAAATCTTTTATCATAAACTGTCAAATTATGCATTATGTTCTTGATATGATTTACAGTGTTTATTATGGAAAACCTGGATTTTAAAACTAAAAAAAGTTAATTACTTATTAGATGTACCAGAAGAGATGAACTTGTGTAATAAGAAGCCTGTAGATGGGATTGTCCCTCTACAAAACGGATCACTTGCGGTATTCAGAGGTGAGTTACCACATGACAGAGCTTAAGTTTTGGACATTGTCCAAATGTTATAGATTAAAATATGCATTTTGCTATAAACATTTCACTCCCAGATCAGAGTGAAGTTATACAGTGGTTGGTAGTTCTGATCAAGACCTTCTCTAACTTCATCAGAAGGTATATTCACATACTGGTTCTTAAAATGAAATTTGCACTACTAATGTGCACTGCCACATTCAGAAAGTGCTCTCCAGAATTGGAGCAAGATCATTTGGACAACTTAGAAACAAACCATTGACTTTGGTAGAAAAAATGTATAGACCTCATAAACTACCCAAACTCAGCCTTCTCTGTAGTGTTTGGAGACTCTTGGAATAATAGTTTAACACAAGTGGAGGCTGGGAGGGTGAAGTTTGCATAGAATTCTACAAACTAGTTGCCCAGGCCACTATGGACCATCCACCATTTCACCTGTCACAAATTTCTATTTACTGTGAAATCTGCCTTGTTGTTAAGAGCTTCATGGTTGGGTATTAATATATTGTTTCTCTTTACATAACACTGGCATTTACTTGGCTTTGCAGGTCATTACTACTGGCTGCTAAATGGAACAAGCTCACCCTCCCCTCAACCTCGTAAAATCTCTGAGGGATGGCATATCCCTTCCCCCATTGACACAGTGTTCTCCAGATGTAACTGTGATGGCAAAACCTTCTTTTTCAAGGTAAGTCATATTTCTTTTCCACAATGTGATTCTTGGTACCAGAAGAGTTAAGAAATGGAAAGACTATACAGTATAATCTGAAATGTTACATGAAACAACAAAAAACAAGATATTGTTGATCAACAGATAATGATCAAGTAAATCTCCCACACTGCATTTATATTATATGCAACTTGTTACAAATTACCAGATTTTTTTTTAAAGAGATCAAAATAATTGGCTTTGCTGGAGAAGTCAATGGTGTGGCTGTATGCATGAACTCACATGATCAAGGTCTCTGCACAAAGCAAAATAAATAAATAAAAAATCCTATCCTGAGAAACTACATATGATCATGTTTGACAGGAGAATTTTAAATGAATTTTCTTGGTGAGATGCCAATCAAATTAGTCATCATTATCAGCAATGGGGAAGTTCATCCACTTACCATGTAAGATACACTTAAAAGTCCTTAGTAAAAGTTTTACAGTTTTAAAAATAAATGCATATATGTTTTGGTGCAATCCTATATGCGTCCTTTTTGGCAGTGTACTCTGTTGTAGAAAGTGAGACTTGCCCCTAAATATAGACATTTTTGTGAAGTAATTTTGCAGCAGATTGACATTATTCCATTCCAAAGGGACATTTCTATTTTAAGCAAAATATGAGGTGAGAAAAATAGGGAATATATAGTAAACTGTATTCCAATTAAAGCTTGTTTATTTATTTATTATTTACTGACTCTGAGTGGCTTACAATCCTACTGTATGTCCAGAAGATAAAAACAAGTAAGATACAAGCAGATAAATGATCATTACAGAATGAAATATTCCTATACCAAGAAACCCATAAAAATATCCTCATATACTTCTACCACATTTGATTTGGCTTCCATGAAATCTGTCTATATTTGCACATCTATCTTTAGCTCTAAAACACCCCTATCTATATCTCTTTGAGCATGCTCCATTTTTGATGAAAGATCACTTTTTCTCTCACATTGCTTATATAATAGTGTCATTCCTCTATAGATTGTCTAAGTGTTATTTAAAAAGCTTATATTTGTAGTCTTTAAATAATAAGAAATAGTGGATCCTTTTAATCAATCAAAAGAGTTTAAATGATTAACTGGTCAACTATATTTAAAAACCTTAAATGGCATACTTTCTCATGCTTTCTCAGTTCTTAGCCAGAATGGCAAAACTTGAAGGAAAGAAATTATTGGAGTTTAGGCACCAGATAAAACGATTTTGCTCCAGAGTTAATATGGAAACAGTTTGAAGAATAGGGAAAAAAGTAAGGAAACTCCATAAGCACCCTGCTTCATATTCAATATGCTCCTCAACAAGCATTTTAAAATAGTGTGAAAAGTAGATACAGTTCCTGACACCTGCATTTGTAAAACCAAGATACAATGAGAAGCCTCTTTAGAAGGAACTGGACCAGTCCCAAATGTTTTGCTGTCATGTTCAAGCCAGGATATATTTGCCAAAATTCTGAAGAACAACCAAAGGGATGCTAGACTGATGTAACGCTCAATTTTTTCCACTCTGGGAAACTCTGAATGGCTTGTGCATTGAAACGGTTTTGTTTGGAGAGGTTCAATCTAACTATATTTAATGACAGGTTTTGATGGAGCAAAGTCAAAGAATTAATATGTTTAGTTGTAGAGCTTGGGATGCACACTTGGGATACAGAAGTTCAAATTTCCACCCTAAGGCAAAGATCAATGAATAACATTTGGCCAATCACAAATACACACACATACACACACAGGCTAAATTCACAGCATATGTTAGTCTGAAAAATGGTTGCTAATTTGTAGTCCAAACATTATAGTTATCTTGTAATTCAATGTGTAGGGCAACTTTGACAAATGGGTAACATGATTTAACATAATTGTACCAATATATTGAATGAAAAGACTTTCTCTCCATACCACACCACACACTCCTGTGCTGTATTCAGGTTGTACATTCAATTTATGTGACTTTCATTTCATAATGAAATTAAATCATTACATTCAAGTTCATTAATTTTCAGGCAAGAAGTACACTTGGCCCTTTTAAGGTCATATGGAGACTACACTTTGAGAAAGTAATTGGGACCAAGACAAAAACAATTTCACTTTGTATCTTTTGCATTTAAATAAAATTAAAACTAAATTAAAACATAATTGTCCTATTAAACTTTGTGAGTTTGATGACAACTTTTGGAGGGACTCAGGCCCTATATGTCATGCACAGGGGCTTATGTACAGGGGCATAGACAGCCCCTGCACCACATATTACATACCTCTGATGTACTGTCTTAACTTGGGATCCTGAATTGTCACCTCTTTCATTATATTCCTAAGATGTATTGCCAGGAATTTTGAAGGCTAATTTGCCTTAAAATTGTCCTGCTCCCAAAGCCTCATAAATAAACTTAGCTTAGCAGGAACACAGGTGGGTCAGGTTAACTTGTACTTGTTTATAGAAAATATTATGCTTATAAAAAAAAAATTCAAGCTAATTCCTTCCATGTAACCTAAGATAATAAATGGGACGCTCTGTTTCTCTATGCTTACTTCAAATCCACTGTTAAAATATATGTTTGTAGTCCTTCTTCCTGGTGAACTATCTCTGAAGGAATCAGAGAAATGGCTGGGAATTCTTGGACTCATAGTTCCACCTGAGGAGCAACAAGTTGAAGAATGCTAGTTCTAGAAACGTCAACAAACTAAATTTAGTATAGGGTAAATAATGGGGCCCGTTTGTTGTAATGGTTAAGGCATCATGCTAGAATTAGGAAGACTGGATTCTAGTCCCACTTTAGATATAAATCCAGCCAGGTGATCTTGGACCAGTCATTCCTTCTGAGTCCTAGGAAGGAGGCAATTGCAAAGCACTTCCAAAACACATCTCTTCCTCCCCCACCTTGCCAAGAAAATTGCAGGGACTAGGCCAGGCAGTCTCCAGGAGTCAATACTGACTCAAAGGCAAAAATAAAAAAATATGGTGGGAAGATGTTGCAGTCATTTAGCCTTTAACTGCCAGTTGCAACTTTCTATAGCTTTCCATAGCTACTCAGCTGTCTATATGACTGGTTTCTGTTACTCTTCTCTGCCAATGTTGCAAGATTTTCACTTGCATTTCTAGTGCATTCACTGGGAATTGCATTTACTATGGATCAGAGAAACCAGAAATAAGCCTCCATATAGTGATGTGGAAGCCTGTAGCTACTGGTAAAAGCACACCAAGCAGCAACTTATTTTGCAAATGTCTTTCCTAGTTTGTTTTAGCTGTTGCACAATGAGACAACAAGGAGTGTGCTGTGCTCCTTTGCTCGTTCACAAAACTGGGATGTCTTTTTTGCTTTGCCTATTGGCCAAGAACCAAATTTTCAGGAATCTGAAAGTGTTTTTTCAGGATGACTATGGCAAGGTGTGTTACCTGTTGTTCTTCCTCAGCAAGGTCCAGAGTATCTCATAACCTTTCCAATCTCCCAGTACCTCCCTTCACAATCTCCCCAGATCTTTTGCCAATGTTCTTGGTTTTCCCCCCACTCTTACAATGTCTCCCCCCAAAAAATTTCTTCTGTGATGTTTGCATTCACATTTGGAACAAGATAATCCATAGTTTTTGTTCTGTGAAGATCAAACATACATTTTTCAGTTTGTATATAAACCCGCTGCAATGAACTGTTCCATTTTGTCCATCCCTATAAACCACCTTTTTGAGGGGAACTTGACTCTGCAATTACCATGACTCCACAATTGGTTAGTCACGGCTATAACTTCCTGTATTAGAAGCAAAACTTGATTGATGTTTTTTCCATGTTATGTACTTCACTGTGTTTTTCAATCAACCATCAACACATAGTGGAAGATATTCTTAGTGGTGGCTTGTACTCTTTGGGGGATTTGCTTGGTTCTGAACAGAATTCCAGATGCAAAGTTCTACAAGTCAATTCCAGTTTCTACAGCACTTTCTGCCACTTTTATACTACTTCAAATTGATTTGTATAGGATTGTAATTGTGCTGCTAATCTGGGCATTCAGACATGAAAAGTGGTAATAAGGCTAATAAAAACAATAAGTAGTAAGGTTAATAAAAGTAATAAGTAAATATGCCTACATATTTTAAAAAGTCCTTAGATTTTTATGAATAGTTTATTTATTAAATTCATTGGTTACACACTTCCAGTGGAGTTTTTTTTTAAAATTTCCTCCCATTTTTTATCTGTAGAAGGAAAATCTTTCAAGCCCCATGTTACATTTCTTCATGAACGAATTACAAGTTGCATCAGTGTCTAATACAACATATGCCTTAGGTGTTTGTGTAACTTCAGCTAGCATTGCACTTTTCAGGGGCCCCAATACTGGCGCTTCACCAATGATGTAATGGACACTGGCTATCCTAAGCTGATTGTAAAAGGATTTGGAGGACTGAATGGGAAAATTATGGGAGCTCTTTCGGTGGCTCCGTACAGAAGCAGGCCAGAATCTGTACATTTTTTCAAAGAAGGTAGGTCTGTTGTGTCTATCAGATGCATTAAAGAAATGGTAAATCCTTTTATATTTTCTATCCATGTGGTTGTCTTGGTAAAAATACTGGAGTGGTTTACCAATATTCTTCCCTTGTATGTCTGAATTGATGCTTTTTGTGACTAAAGTGATCATTTGCCTCCAGCATCTTCTTATATGGCTTCTGCCCAATAAAGGTGGCTGCACAGTGAGATTTTAGCTGTGCAGTGGGATGACCTTCACATATATTCCTGCTGGGAATATATAACACTTGACATTTGCTTCTGATGTTTTTCACTCCTCTCTCCTAGAAACACCCCTGAATCACAATGGGGCAATACAGCAGGACTCAGTGGGAAGGTGCGATTAAAACCTGAGGAATGAAGCTGATTTCTTTCTATTGCATTGTGGGCTTCTTTCTCTTGCTGGTACAGCTATCATTCAGCACAAAATGACACTCTTTGATGCTTAAGTCAAATAAGTGACTTAATTAAATCAGCAGGAAAGAAGTAGTTTCAAAGGGAAGCGATGGGATGATGCATAGTAGCAGTCAATTTCAAAGAAGCATTAGGCATTTCATGAATGTGGGAACATGTTAAGCATCCATAGCATTCTGATTTTTTTTTAAAAAAACTAAAACTTAAAAAATGGTGTGCTACTTTATTCTCACTGTTAAAGTCCTTCCTCTATCAAAATATTATTTTAATTGTTGCCTAACTGCATCTGCATTCGTTTTATTGCATATAAACAATTAATACTGTCCCCATGTCACAGTTGTTCTTGAAATACTTACTCCTGTTTAATTTAATGGACCACCTCGATTATTTACCAGTTTGGCTACAAGAAGCTAAATTTCCATCCAAACACCTCCCTGAACACAGTAATGTACAAATCCACTGAATGCTATGTAATCAGGATGAGGCAATTAAATGTTTATTTTACATTTCCTGCAATCTATGTCATTTGTGAAATGTAATCAGTTGTTATGTTAGGTCTTTAAAAACTAGGTTTCATTGTATTACTTTTCTACTGTAGGTGGCAATGTTCAACAATATGTCTACAAACAAAAACCAAAGAAGTGTAAGAAGAAAGTTGTAACTGTGAATTATCCAGTTTATAAACCAAAGACTTTGGTTCTGAGGCAGAGGCGCTTTGGACGTGCAATACAATCTCGTCAGATCTTCCGAACCATCCGGATAAGGCAGTACCCAGTCATTCGGATCACCCATCATTCGACAGGCATGGTCCTTGTTTTGCCTTGTTTAGATGCTACGATTAATTGGGTTGCACAATGCTACAGCTCCAAAAATAAGTTCCAAATGAAGCAGCCTAACTGTATGGAGGTTGATTATATCTTGCTCTTTAAATATTTTGTCACAGGGCTTGTGTGCCATTAAAATATCTCCTGAATGGTTTTATATCATCTTCATAATTTCAAAAGAAATTGCTTTGTGTTTGCAGGAGTACTGCAGCCAGAGGTTAAAATTACCTCATATTGGAGAGGATTTCCAAAAGAATTTAATTCTGCTATTTCTGTTCCTAACGAGGAGAATGGGGATGGATACGATTACTATGCATTTGCTAAAGGTATGTTGTGGCTATGACACTCACTTAGATGCTGCCAGCTATTTGAGGCTGTTTCTCATAAGATTTTTTTGTACTCCTCTTGAGATCCTGTTTCAGAACAGTCCCATATCACATTTCTTTTCTCTCCTTAAAATAGTTCGAAAAGCTGGACAAAAACATAGCTTTGAAAGGCGAGTGAAAAATGTTAATTGTGTAAGAGTACTCCATTTTTAGAAATTATTTAAACAGAAAAACAGATGCAGTTTATATGAATTTTAAATATGAAATAATTGCTGAGTAGCCATTTTTACAGCCCGTTTTATTGTATGTATATTTATTTATTTATAATTAAATTTATATACCGCCCTACTCCCGAAGGACTCAGGGCAGTGAACAGCCAGAAAGTAAAATATACATAATACAAACGTTAAAAACCATTTAAAATACATTAAATACATTGGCCAGATTTAAAACACCCCAATTATAAAACCAATTTAAAAACAATTAAAAAGGGAGGTTAGGCCAGACCAGCCTGCTGGAATAAGAATGTTTTGAGGGCGCGGCGGAAAGTGCGCAGATCCGGGATCCTCCGTATCTCCGGGGGGAGCTCGTTCCAGATGGCAGGTGCACCCACAGAGAAGGCTCTCCCCCTGGGGGCCGCCAGTCGACATTGTTTGACCGACGGCACTCTGAGAAGACCCTCTCTATGGGAGCGTACTGGTCGGTGAGAGGCTATTGGTGGCAGAAGGCGGTCTCGTAGGTACCCCAGTCCTAAGCCATGGAGCGCTCTAAAGGTGGTAACCAAGACCTAGAAACACACCCGGAAGACCACCGGGAGCCAGTGCAGCTTGCACAGGAGGGGAGTCAAATGGGAGCGCCATGTCGCTCCTGTAACCACCCGTGCGGCTGTATTCTGGACCAGCTGGAGCCTCCGGGTGCTCCTCAAGGGGAGCCCCATGTAGAGAGCATTACAGTAATCCAGGCGGGAAGTGACGAGGGCATGAAAGTGTGTAACGAGTCCCAATCCAGAAAGGGACGCAACTGGTGGATCAGGCGAACCTGATAAAAAGTCCTCCCGGCCACAGCTGTCAAATGCTCTTCTAAAGACAGCCATGAGTCCAGGAGGACACCCAAGTTGCGAGCCCTCTCCGTGGGGGCCAACGACTCGCCCCCAATAGTCAGCGATGGCACCAACTGACTATATCTGGATGTCAGAAACCACAGCCACTCGGTCTTGGATGGGTTGAGCCTGAGTGTTTCTCCCCATCCAGATCCGTACAGCCTCCAGGCACCAGGACATCACTTCAAGGGCATCATTGGGGTGATCCGGGGTGGAGATGTACAGCTGAGTATCATCAGCGTACTGATGGTACTTCACCCAGAAACCACGGATGATCTCACCCAGCAGCTTCACATAAATGTTGAACAGAAGGGGCGAGAGGACCGACCCCTGTGGCACCCCACATACAAGGGCCTTGGGGTCAACCTCTGCCCCCGTCAACACAGACTGCAACTGGTCGGAAAGAAGAACCACCGCAACACGGTGCCCCCCACCCCTAACTCTTCCAACCGGTGCAGCATGATACCATGATCGATGGTATATAACATACACTTGATGACGGATCTCTTTCGGGGGAATGGAACTGCATTCCTTCATAGGCTGCTAAGTGCTGCACACAAAGATTATCAAGAAACCCTTGTAAAAGTCCTCAAGTCTGGCTTGACTCCTGAGAATCACATCCATGGAATTTTCTTGACAGAGTTATGGAAGTGGATTGCCATTACCTTCTTCCAGAAAGCTTTTAAAGAATTCCTAGTATATACAACCCTAAAACCCTTGTTGTACTACTAATCTGACCTTGTTTGGCCATCTAAGAACAACATTGCCACCTGTTCTTAGATGGCCAAAGAAAGAAAGAAAGAAATAGAGTGGAAAGATTCAGCTCTATTTATTTATTTAGCTTAGAACTACTGTCTTACAGTGATCTTTTTGAGAAATATGTCTTTATATCATTTATACCATTCAAAATAACAAACAATGGTATTGTTCACTTCCTAATAGCCACTGTGTCTTAGCATGGTAAGTGTTGTGTAGTGTAAAACATTCTTTTTTTTGCTGCAACTGATGTTTTAAAACAGGACTTTTAAACTAGGAGTTGGCCAAAATGTGCAAGACAAATTTGAAAGAAAAACACGACTTTGTGTGAGATATAAAATCAGACAGCACTGGATTATACAGGATACTAAATTCAATCCCATGGATCATGCTGCAACTGAACTTGGATATTTTGCTCTCCATAGAACCATTAATCTCAATAGATAATAGATAGAGAAATGCTAGCAGGACCATAGTTGGCTAGCATTTGTCCTTTCTGGGTAGAAAACAAAAGGTATTCACATTAAGGTAGGAAGAGTTTGCACTTATTTTTTTACAAGTTTAAAATGGTCAAGAGGTTTCTTCCATCCTCCTTTACTCTTTAAAAAGTCTAGCATGGTTACAACATCACTGGGCTGTTTGATAGACAAGGTTTCTTTCTCTGAGCTTTTTGATGGAAGCCTCTATTGTGTAAAGAGCCTGGTGCTGAAAGGAAACCTTAGGCTGCCTTATACATTTCAAAAAGTACAAGCCCCTTCTCTGACCTGGTTTGATTTGACTGAATTTTCTAGGGTTTTTGTCTAACTGAAAATTCAACCCCATTTCCCCCAACGTAAGCAGATAAATGAGGCAAATGTATCTTAGTCCATTCATCTTCCAATTGCTTGAGTTGCTCAATGCTATCTGTCCACTATAAAGTACACCAAGGTTTCCTCTTCAATAAGACAGGAGGAACTGTCTTATTGCCTGTTTCCAAATGATCAAAATTGCATGAAAAGAAAGGCCCATCTTGAACTGAGGATTTACATGATTAATTGGTTTTTCAACTGTTAATACTTGTGTGGTATGATCTAACAACCCTGTTCTCCCGTTCCATTCCCTTTCAGATAACTACTACAGCTTGGATGTGGGCAGCAGAATAGCAAGACCAGTTACAGCGCAAACTGGGCAGACTGTGTCCAATGCTTGGTACAAGTGTCCTGCAGAATAACTTGGAAACTCAAACAACCTGAAAGAAATGCTTTTGTGTGACAGTTTCTCTAGTTTTTATTAATAAAAGACGATCCAATGTTCATACAACAATCCTTTTTAACATTTAAAAAAGACTGCTTTAAGCTTGGCAGCTGTTATACTAATGCAGAATAAAGGCAGACTAAACAGTATACACCATTTCCAAAATTTGTACAGCATTTAATTAATATTGCCTCTGTTCAGGCCTCCTCTGCCACCCATTGCATGAGTTATACCTGCAAGAAAGATATAGCAGTTATATATTTTTGTTTCAATTAATGTTCATTTGCCTCTTGATATTTTAACCATCTGCATTACAAGAATTTCCCTGCCACTATTATTACTGTAAAATAATCATTCCATATCTTATTTTGAATATCACTGTCAAAATCTTAACAGCCACCACATCCTCAATTTGGATTAGAAAATTCTATTCCATTACACATATCTTAACTAGATCTGGAAACTGAATAGGGAATATCCTAAACTTCATTCAAATATTAATGGGAACAAGTTTTGGGAATTCTGGAAATTACAGCAACATGATTAGTAAAAAAGAGGTGTTAAAGTTACCATTAAGTGAAATTAACATCCATATTTAAGACAAACATCTTCAAGTAACTGCAAATATTGCTTCTAACAAGATTTTCAATTTTTAAAAAGTTTCAGCTTAGAAATCACTATTTCTTTTTTTTTTTTTTGTCTAGCTAATAATGTATTTTTCTTTTTTGGTATTTACTGTGAGTCATATCTCTTTACTACACTCTGTTCTTCATCTTCTTTAAATGTTTTAATTTTCTTTGTAACTAAAACAATTAACTCAGTTGGTATATACATGTTAAGCATGAATGTGAAGGTTCAATTAAGCTGATTTATCACTATGCCCAGGAATCTTCTCAGATAAGGGTCAGCACCTGCATAAATTAGATAAGGGTCAATGGCATTTAAGGAGGATTAGATCTTGTTTGCTTGTGGCTATGCAGGGATTCCAGGCTGATCCTTCTTTTCACACCGCCCCCAGGTCTGCTATTCCTCCTCTTAAAATATGTAAGCTAGCAGAGGTCAAAATCCTACATTTTTCAAAATTTTTACTTGTATGCATACTTCATTTTTCTCAACAGTAAGTAGTTAACTTATTTAACTAAGCCCCACTGGGACTGAAATATACTCACCCCTGTGTCTATTAAACTGACGACCACGAACTCCAGCCCTTAAGGTTGGAGGCTGAAGTCTAACGCGTCGGAAGGGTTTGGGATGATTGCTGCTTGTATCTGGAAAAGAAATAGTGGGGTATTGATTTTTTCATGGTAATAGAAGTATTATTCTTGATTTTTGTACTGCAGGACTGTGTGGGTATAACAAATAAAATCTTTAACTAGAAAATAAGTGGCAAGTTTTTTTCTACATGCAAGTTTGTAGACCAGGTGAATAGTTACTTTTGAATGGAACTTCAATGAAGGGAAATATAAACAAATTCCTGTATTCTTTTTAAAAAAGTGTTTCGTCAAACATTTAGAGAATTGATGACCAGAGTTCATGCCCAAATGTATCTTTAAGTTGCAGAGAACGATTAGTAAGAATCCTTCCTCTTCATATCTACAGACTGCAATCTTTTCTACAATAAAAGCTGAAATGGTAGAAAAATACAAAACCATCAGGGGCTCAATTATTCTTTGTTTGATGTCCCATATCAATGAAAATTCCTAAGTACAGGTAGTCCTCAATTTATTATCATAACATAGACCAGAATTTCCATCATGAGTCATGACAGTTGTTAAGACAAGGCACCTGACCAGGCCCAGTTTTATGTTTTTTGTGGTAGTCGTTAAATGAACACCACAATCATTAAGTGAATCCTTATATTCCCATAGGTGGGGTTTGTTTGTTTTTTTGGTTGGAAAGTGGCAGAAAATTCCTAAATCATGGTCATATGAACTCAAATGTTGGAACCGGCCATATAGATGAGCCAGTTGACAAGCACCTGAAATGCAGTCATGTGACCGCTGGGATGTGTGCATCCATTGGACCTCAGGAACTGGATCCTAAGTAGCTTTTGGGGGCTCCGTCATAACTTCCAGCCCTTAAGTGACTATCTGTACTTCAAATGATGGTTCTCTAAATCCAGGATTTGATGGGAGTTATATATACCTGCAGATGAACTAGAAGGTGGATCTTGACTGGTAGAAGGAAGATCTGATTCATCAGGAGTTTGAGATGATTCCTCCTCTTGCTGGCTATCAATGTCTAGACCTACCTCTGAAGAAATTCTAAAACAAAAGGGATGCACAGGGAAGAAATGTGAATAACAACAACAGAAAATATATACAAACACATCCCACAAGGGGCTTCAACCAGCCTATCTTAGAGCCACGAGAACAGAAAACCATGAAACCCTAAATTTGAAAGCAGTCTACACTTTATGTTCACCCACACCTAGTGATGGCACAGGAGATGACATATTCAGTGGTGAAATTGGAATTTCGTCTTTATTGTTCTAGCAAAAGTTAAGAGTTACCATATCTGTGAGAACTAGTATGGAGGCTTTTATTTTGGAAAGACTGTTCCCTTTAAAGGTGGGGCAAGAAAAAATGGAAGCATAGAAGTGAATCTCTCACTGTTTTTTTCAGCTCTGTGTCAGTTCTCTGCTGATTTTTACTATAACCAATATGTATTAAACTACTACAGTTGAGCAAAATAATAATGATGCTTTGCTCCAAGAAAATTTAGTCAGTTTTGCAAAAAGCTCAATTGGGAAACAACACTTAGCAATGAGGTTATTGAACCCATCTTTCAAAATTACTTCAATTGGCTCTATGGCCAGATTGCGATCTATAAAAAAGTACATCATTATCAAGAATTAACTACACTTAGCCTTAGCCAGAGCAACGAAGTTGGGTAAAAGAAAAAAAAATCACTCCAGTGCATAGAAATGTTTCCAAAGAATTTATTGGTGTGTCCTAATTTTATCTCCTGGAAAGTTTCAATATCCCCAATATCAGAAGAGAACTAGTCTGAACTAGAATGCTATCGATGCTATTTTCTATTATGAACCTAGTGAACTTGCAAATCACTCTCTGGAACCATTTGGCAATTTTATATCAAGACTATATTCCTGCAGAGATCTCAAAATGTCAGCAATTTATAAGGACTAGTACTAATAAATAATTGGTATAATGCCACACAGGTCCAGATGCAAGTCATTGGCCAGGAATGTACAATTGAAATTCTGCCTTGGGCAATCCATCTGTTATGGCACAAAACCTCCTATCTAAACAGATTGGGCTTAAGAGTGCTCTTAGACTGGGAAGTAGAGTGGCTCTGCCAGAAACAAGTCCAAACAGATATTAAGAGTATATTAGGAAAGATGGGAATATTGTGGTAGATCAAACCACCATATTGGTTGTTTTAAAAATACAAAAGATTCAGTGATAGATAATAAATGATCAGACCGTCCTCATTTCAGTTAGATTGTACCCATCTTGTTCAGATGCTTTTGCAGACAAAAAAAAAACTGATTTTATCCAACCAAAACCTTCAGCTTACCCTTCCGATTCTGCCTCCACAAAAACCTCATCACCATCATCACCTGTTCCAGATTCAGAAGTGGTTGATAAATTACCAGTGGAAGTTGTAACCATTGGAACAGATTGGGAGGCGTGCTCGGAAGCATCAGCAGAGGTGCTTTCAGTAAATACAGATACTGGAAATAGAGGGGGGGGGGAGAGAACAAAGTGTAAGCCAAACCAAGAAGATGATGCTTTCTCTCTCCCCATCACACCAAATGCTATAGTTAAACATTCTTGCTTTTGTTACATGCCAGTCAGAACAATTGGCAGCATCAAAATATGAAATCTACCAATTGTTTTTGCACTTCTCTAACCCCTATTGCTAAATCCCTGTACTGTAGCATCTTACCAATCGTTGAAAAGGTTTAACATTGTTTTCAAATTAAGCCCAGCACTCTCAAATTTCCTAACGAAGCCAAGTCATACCAACTCCACCCACCATGATTCCTGGACTCTCATAAAAAGTTAAAAATGAACTTAGCTTCCCCAAAATTGCTTATCCCTGTATTACAAATTCAACAGAAACATGTTTACTGTTTTCAGGGTATGTGCAATCATAGAAAAATTGTAGTCTATGCTTAGAAATTGTAAAGCAATGGCCTTCTACTTTCCTTGCAGCAGCCAAGATTGAATTGTATGTTGATTTGGGGGCAGGAGAGAGGATCAAGATGATAGAGAAGATAATTAGGGATGTACAGGATTTTACATGAAAAACAGATTTTTGTGTCTATTTTTGAATAGACACAGCATCAGAGGAGGTGGAGGAAACTAGAGTGCCATAAACTACACTTTTTGTTATGTGATAATAAACTTTGATCCTTTGAGACAACCTTTCTAGAGGTTAGTTAAGATTTTCTGATTTTGATTTTGCTTTTTCTAAAAATGCCCTTAATGCTCCCAGAAAAATAAAGGATTCTTTGTTCAAGATCGTAAGAAATTTAGCATCACAGATGCCTTGCTTCTCTACTTACACAGATATCTTTGTTTTTAACCTCAACTTGAGAACTACCAGCCAGTGTTTCTCTGGATGAAAAGCATCAACATCTGTTTCCCACCAAATAGTTCCCTTTCTGTCAACAAACATTCTGCTCTAATGACACTACTAGGAATGCATCATCTGTAGAAACTGAGCTCACCAGGTGCTGCAACTTGTAGTGGAGTTGTTGGGACACTACGACCTCCTGATTCTTCTTCGTGGGCAAGAAAGAGAGGTGTTTCATACATTCCTAGCCCTAACAAGAATTTGGAAAAAAAATATACTTCGATGCAGTCTCAAAGGCATAATATTCAACCAAGAAAGCATTTGATTCTATGTTACCTTAACAGAAAAGCCCAGGTTTGTTTTTTTTAAAAAAGGAATACAAAACTCACCTAAACTTTGAAAAAGCAGAAATACAGCAATTTATCTGGGAAACCT